GTTCAGTAACTTTTACTCTGATTGGTCAAATTTCAATCTAATCCCAATCCCAATCCGTAGTCTGATACGGGCTTTACTGTGATTGGTTAAATTTCAATCTAATCCCAATCCCAATCCGTAGTCTGATACGGGCTTTAAAGTCCGTGTCACACTACGTATTGTGGATCACGGATCGGATTGAAATTGCGGATCGCGGAGCACAATTCAATCAATCGGATACGAGGCTGTCTCGTCTGATTGGCTGCAATGCGATCCGCGATACTCAATCTCGATCCGATTCGCGATTTGCAATGCGTAGTGTGACACGGGCTTAAGGGTAACAAGTGCGAGCGACACGAACAAACCTATGATTAGGAGTAATATAGGGAATTTGTTTTCAGACATCAGGCTGTTCAGAGAATTTTAAGTTGATCACACTGTTGAAGAACATGCGGTGTGATCCTAACCTGACATATATTTGACTACATAGAATTTGTTCGTAACATATTTGTTGCATATTGTTTGTTGATAATTTTTGAGTAATACGTTTGCTGTAACACATCTCTGGTATGTTGTCAGTTGTTTATACTTTATCTCGCAATTAAAACTAACCGAACCGTGCAGGTTTAAAATGTTTTCAACAGAAAATTTAAAACTATATTGGTTTTTCAGGTTCAGAAACATTCCTTATACGACAAATTAAAATTCCATCGACGTTTTTGATTAAATTTAAATTGTATTTGATTAATATAATAAAATTAAACATTTAATATTTATTGTGTTCAATTACAATTCAATTTATTATTTTTATCAATTAAAAAATATTTTCAGAAATATATGAATGTCTTTTTTGCAATCTTTTTAAATTGATTTCTCGATATTAAAGAGAACTAAGTTTCGAAAGGTATCACTATTGTTTTCTGAATGGTGTGTTTGTTCCAGGCACAATGGGTAAAACACATACCACTACTAAAGCCCCTCGGAAGCAGGGCTTTAAGCGCTCGGGACACAGTATGAATCCTGAGCGTCCTACGGAGGGACTGAAGGGAGTCGCCAAGGTGCGGACGAAAGCGACGATCAAAAGGTTGCAGATGTACCGCAATCAGAGGCCGAAGCGCGATCGTACCGGGAAGATTATTAGCCCCGCGCCGTTTCAAGGCTGGAATACTTCTGGGACCATGTCGCGCGTGGAGCCGTCGCAAAGGTGGTTCGGTAACTCAAGAGTCATCTCGCAGAACGCTCTGCAAAAGTTCCAGAATGAATTGGGAACCGCGATGAAGGATCCCTACAAGGTCGTCATGAAACCCACTCAGCTGCCCGTCACTTTACTTCAGCAGAAGGCGGCCAACGCAAGAGTACACCTGTTGGATACCGAGAGCTTCGAGAGCGTTTTTGGCCCGAAGAAGGTCAGGAAGCGGCCGAATTTGTCAGCGACGTCGTACGACGATTTGAAGAAGTCGGCTGAGAACAAGGAGGACGATTACAACAAGGAGAAAGACACCAAGGACCTCGACCTCGTTCGCGAGGACACTGGTGTGAGGGACGCGCAGAGAGACTGGGTCATGGCGGCGGGACAGAGCAGGAGGATCTGGAACGAGCTGTACAAGGTCATTGACTCCTCCGACGTCATTTTACAGATACTGGACGCGAGGGACCCGCTGGGGACCAGGTCTCCGCCCGTGGAGAAGTACTTGAAAACCGAGAAGCCATACAAGCACCTGATGTTCATCCTGAACAAGGTGGATCTGGTGCCGACGTGGGTCACGCAACGGTGGGTGGCGATTCTGAGCAAGGAGTACCCGACGGTCGCCTTCCACGCCTCCCTCACGCATCCCTTCGGCAAGGGCTCCCTGATCAATCTGCTGAGGCAGTTCGCGAAATTGCACGTCGACAAGAAGCAGATCAGCGTCGGCTTCATAGGGTATCCCAACACGGGAAAGAGCTCCATCATAAACACCTTGCGCTCCAAGAAGGTCTGCAAGGTGGCGCCTATTGCCGGGGAGACGAAAGTCTGGCAGTACATAACTCTCATGCGCCGCATCTACCTGATAGATTGCCCGGGTGTGGTTTATCCGTCGTCGGAGACCGACACGGAGAAGGTGTTGAAGGGCGTCGTGCGAGTGGAGCTCGTGCAGAGCCCGGAAGATTACGTCGCCTCGGTCCTGGAGAGAGTGAAGCCCGAGTACATTCGCAAGACTTACAAGATAAACGTGTGGATAGATCACGTCGATTTCTTGGAAAAGCTGGCGCGCCGGAGCGGCAAGCTTCTGAAGAAGGGAGAGCCCGACGTGGCGATCGCCGCGCGTATGGTGCTCAACGATTGGCAGCGCGGCAAACTGCCCTTTTACGTGACACCTGTGGGCTACGAGGAGCCGCTGTCGAGTCAAATGGATGCTACGAACGAAACGGTTGCCGCGCAAGATAGTACCTCAGAAATAGCCAGTACTAAAGAGACTCGAGAAACTGATAATGCACTTGCAAAGGAGATGATAAAGACTCAGCCAACAGTGGTCCAAGATTTTAGAAAAATACGCGTTGGACTGCCTTATTCCGGCGAGGATGTTAAAGATCTGGAGCAGGACGAGTCCCTCGACGACAGTCTCGCGGAGGACGACGGCAGTGCGGAGAGCGAGTCGGGATCGGAGAACTTGGAGTCGGAAGATGATTCTGGCGATTTGTCAAAGGCAGGCAATTTGGATGGCCAGGGCGATAAAGAACGTTCCTCAAACGATAACGTTATCGAAAACGATGACAAAGCAAATAAAGAGTCAGATACGAAGGAAAGCAACGAGTGTTCAGATTCGGAAGATCCTTTGTCTATTGAACAAGATAATCTGAGGCAGAGCGCGTTTGATGTCGTAGATGAATACGATTCCAGCGATGCCGAAATGTTGGCTTCTAAAACTGTCTCGAGTGGCGATGTACAAAGTGTCTTGTCGACGTCGCGCCAACAAATAAAGGACAAATTGACGAGCAAACAGCGAAGAGCGATAGAACGTGCCAGCAAAAGGAAAAAGATCGGAAGCAATTTCTACGAAGTCACGAATGTAAAGAACAGAAATAAAAACAGGAAAGTCCCAAGAGTCAAGAGGAAATAAGTGCTAGAATAAATTACATTTACTTTACCCAGATATTTGTACAACACCAGGAAAACGAAGCGTAAAATATGTATATATACGTATATTTTATATTTATCACATTGCAAATTGTACGTTCATTTCCTCCGCAACTGGCCTGTCCTTCTGTCGTTTTACAATACGTAGAAGATAAAATAAAACAATATACAACGTACTTATATGTATATGTAATCAATTGCGCCGCAATATCGCGAGCGTGACAATGAATTTAGGACCATTCCAGGATGTTTTCTTTCTTCTTCTATTATTGCCTAGATCCACTCGCGCTTAGCGAAGTAAAATATGACTTTGCGCAGCCGTAGGATGAACGCTTCGTTGCCCTGGTAGGTCATTATTAAGTTCTCAATTTGATCGTACTTCAACTTGATTTCCTGTACGTTCAGCGTGATTATCTTGAGCATGAAGAATAAATGCATCATCTCGAGCTTGGCGTCGATGAACAGCTTGGCGTCAAACTTCTCCCTGGTGAATGGCTCGGTGTCGCAGCCCATTCGATCCAGCACGGCCAGGAATGTCTCGTGGTAGAGGTCTATGAGTTCCTCCAAGCAGTCCTCGCTCACCGCCGTGCTGGAGAACAGGAAGAAGACCATCTCGCGCAGCGGATTGAGGAACAGATAATTCTGAAAATCCACGAACTTGATGTCGTCCACCCGGCCGTCCTCGTCGCGATGGAACATGAAGTTGTTCACCCAGAAGTCCGCGTGAATGATAGTGGACCACGGCTCGTCGGGCGTTAGGTTCCACATACCACGACCGACCGATTCGCTTATGGCGGCTTCGCAGCGATCGGCGTAAGCATTCAACTGCGGATCCTCCTTTATCGTCGCCAGCATGTCTTTGTGGAAGTCCTCGAACTTATCCGTCTTCAGCTCCAGGCACTTGCTGTGTTCTTTAAACACTTCGAAGTGTTCCGGTCGTTTGTACTTGGTCGCCATCCCTAACGCATGAAATCTCGCCATCGCCCGTATCGTGACCCTCGAGTGCTCAAGATCGCATCCTGTGATCCAAACGGAAAAAGAGTCACTCATTTATCATCTAATGAATACTATGGCTAAACTTATGTTGCAACTTCTGACGGTCTTGACTTTGCGACTTTACATAATATTGAGTAATCTTAACTTTGTAACTTTTAATAATCTTTGGTCTAATCTGCTTTGCGACTTTACATAATATTGAGTAATCTTAACTTTGTAACTTTTAACAATCTTTGATCGAAAATGCACAGAAAATTGCCACACAATCAGAGAAAACTCAACCGTGTGGTGCAACTTTATTAATCTTATGTGAAACTCTCTTATCTTTCACGGTCAACTTTATAAAAATCATTATGACGTAACTAATGATGCTGTGTATATTTCCTGAGTACCAAGAGCAATTGCATAAAGTTGACAAAAAATGGTGCCGAGGGGATTAGTGTAATAAATCACGTTTTTGTTACTTGGATCATAAATCATATCGATAAGAAGCAAAAGACGACACATTGTATTATGAATGACAAACTCTCTGGAGTTATCGCACTGCGCTTTCAATGTCGCAAAGGTTTTTAAATAAATGAGTTTATCTTAATCATTATTTGTACCAGCACCTTATGCAATTTATGAAATGCCATTAACCAATTTTTTGTCATCACGTATCTACGCTTTTCCTACTTGACGCAGTGCATATAAATTTAATTCTCGGTTAATTTGTTAAATTAAATTTATGAATATTAAATACTACACAAGATTTTTGTCGTTTACATAAAGATGACGATTGTCAGTCTCATAGTATAAATAATTTTAAAGAACTTAACATATTAAATCGCAAAAAAGTCTTCATTAGGAGAGGCTCATGAATAATTCATTATGCTAAACATTTTTCTCTGCGGTTCTTCTGAACCGCCAACAAGTGCTTAATTCAAAGCATAAAGATAAAGTGAGCTCAAAGTTTATCATCAATGAGTTTCAAATAGACATTTAATACTACCTTTAGTTCTGTCGCCAATGTAATAACCGTGCGACCTCAAGTTCTCCATTAAAATAACGGCGTTATCGTCGAAATCGACATCTGGACTCAGCGACAATCGGGACTGATAATATCGTGGCAATATATCGAACACCTCGTCCTCTTTCAGACCCATCTCTCTCTCCAGTTCTTGATAGTAAGGCACAATTTTCTCATACATGAAGATCTCCTTCCTGAACGTGAGCGGACTGCCGAACAGTTCCTGTTGAAATTCCGTCGGCGGTGGCATCTTCGCGATGAGATGAAGGTCTTCCTCCTTCGCCTCATTGTTGCGCTTGATTACGGCGTCAACGCGTAAAATGGTGCTGCCATAATTCTCGCCCGGCTGCAACAGGCTCTCGCTCGTAAAACGGACCACGATCAGCCGATCGCCAAATGTGCGGCTGAGTAACGGTTGCAGTTCACGCAGCTCGATCGTCTTCAGCGCCTGCTGTTCCTTGCTCATGGTTGTCCAGGTTGTCGCACAGGTCGCGGACAGTGTACGGAAAAGATTCGCGCCTATGTCAATCAGCTGTCACGTTTCGTGTCGGACCGATACTGAACTGGTCGAGATATATTACGTGTGAAAGAAGCGCGTCTCTCTCTATCTCTTTCTCTCCAACGTGACCCATACCGGGCGAACAATCCTTTCATTTACGTCTGCTGCTACCATTGCCACCGCCACCACCTCCTCCTCCTCCTCCACTAACTCTGAGGCCTGATCTACCTCCTTCCTTTCCTCTCCGCAACTGCCTACGTACTATATTTGTAATCGTTACGTAGCTACGATTACTCAACATGATGCTGTGTTCCACGTACGTGTCGGATGAGATTAATTTCCGTGCGGAGATATTGTCGACTCACACACGGAAAGTTTTGTCAAACGCTGATTTTCCGTACTTTGAACGCTACCAGCGGCTATCAGCTCCTCTCACGACACCCGCGACAATCAGTTTGTCCTGGTTTCTCTTTAGAACTTGTAACTATCGTGTGATTCACACACACACACACACACAACACACACACACACACACACACACACACACACACACACACACACACACACACACAATTTCCGCGCCATTATCTCTATAAAGATCGTGTTGCGCCGTTTTTTGCAATCGTATATCATGTTTGTTCATATTGCAGCTAAAAACTTAACTATGTCATTGTTTGACGACACTTCTTTTCGCTGGAATGGGAGATTAGATTGGTTAATCTCGGATCGCAATCACTGAGAGAACGCCTCTGTGATACGGCGGTAAAAAGAGTAAATTTATTTCTGAAATAACAGAGAATGATATAAAAAATATATCTTTCTGGCACTCACATGGCAGTTGTGTATAAGATAGCGTATATAATAAAATTTTTCATATGTAAAATACGATTAAAATAAAAGAACGTAAAATACATGTCTATTGCATAATGTGCGATCTGCGATCACTTTATTCGTGTAGCTTTTCCATGCGCTGAAACTTCCCGACTGTTTGTCCTTCTCATGTAAATTCGTTATCGCCGACGGTGAGAAAATGTTTACTTCGGGCGACCTTCTTGCTCGATAAATTTGCTGTGAATATCCCACAAGTTCTACAAATAAATTTCACTATTTAAAATTATGATTATATTATTATGATTTGTACAACAAATTTGCATAAAAAAAAAGAGAATAGACAAATGCCGAATTAATATCTCATCTAATATAGTTTTGTTGTAGAAAAAGAATATATGTTCTTTCTCTTTTAGGAAGGAAAATGGATATGTATTGCTCATAATTCGGTAATACTCAGAAAATTTTGATCCTGGGTATAAAAATCATGAAGATAACTACCGCTTTAATTGTTTTGCAGTGTGCGACGGGGGATTGCATTTCCATCTTCCTCAATCAATTTGCGATGTACGTCACTGAGCGCCTAAATAGCATATAAATTGAATACGAGACGCAATTTCAAACACAGTACCTGAATTTAATCTCTACCCGACGATAAAAAAAAAGTGCCGAGTCAGCGAGTGACGAGGCAGATTGAGAGATCACCTTGAAGTATTTGACCGTTTTCACACGTAATTCCAGAGTCGCGTCCTCGTCGCAGATTATAAGCGTGCGTGGGTGCTGTTGAAACGCGGACACCGTCCACATGTGGTTGATGCCCTCCTCTATGGCCTTGTAAAGGGCAAAAGCTTTGTGGGAACCGGTGATAAGGATCATCACTTCCTTAGCGTCCATCACCGTGCCGACGCCTACCGTTAGCGCCTGCTTCGGCACTTTGTTAATATCATTTCCGAAAAATCTCGCGTTGGCTTCCAGGGTGTCCTGCGCGAGAGTTTTCACTCTCGTGCGAGAAGCTAACGACGAGCCGGGCTCATTGAAGGCTATATGTCCGTCCGGTCCGATACCTGCAAGTTTACATAGTCGCTTACGAAACTAGCCGCGCCGAAAAGTCTCTCGGGTCTGCATTTAACGAGGCCGTCGCCTTTTTACCTCCAATGAACAATTCTATCCCACCGGCCTCTTTAATGTTTTTCTCGAAATTGTCACACTCCTTTTCGAGATCCGTCGCATTTCCGTCAAGTATATGCACGTTCTGCGGGTCGATATCTATATGTTTGAAGAAATTGTTGTACATGTAATAGTGGTAAGATTCGGGATGGTCTCTCGGTAAGTCAACATACTCGTCCATATTGAATGTCTTAACGTACTTAAAGGATATTTTGCCTTGTTGATAATATTCTATAAGCTTTTTATACATTCCCAAAGGTGTCCCTCCTGGAAAGGAAACGAAAAAGGATTGTCAGGAGAACGTTAATATCACACGATTGATAAACACATGTTTAAAAAGATTATCACGTACCTGTGGGGAGACCAAGAACAAAGTACTTGTTCTCATGAGGATTAAAATCGTTGATTCTCTTCAAAACGTATTTCGCAGACCACTCCGCGACATCGTCCACGTTATCGCAAATTACCAGACGCATAATAAATATAT